ATTACTTAATATTAAAATATTCGCCTATGCTATGCTTTATTTTATCATGTAATATACTATGAATATATACGCATACATGTTTTTAAAGTAATTACTAATACAGAACATCATATTATGTTTTCATTTCTGTCTCTTGTAATACATCAATAATGACAATCTTATGAGTATAAAATACTATCAAATTGGTTGTTGTTATTATTATTGAATAAAATTATTTATTTCTATGTATCTATGTTTATTTACTAATGAAAATATATTTACTCAGTCACAAACATACATATATGTCTGTTAGCCAGGTCTATAATCTTTCACATGCATTCATTATCTCTTTTTGTTAAAGAATAAATAAACCAGTTCACCTTAAGTGTCAAACGTAGGACAGTTATCTACCTCAGGCAATCAAAGATAGTTCAGCACTGTGAGTTGATTAAAGTTAGACGTGAATATCATTTTGATACTGGTTAGTGGGGTTCGATCCTCTGTGGTGATATGGTGAATGTGCACTGACAAGGGTGTCCCATACTAGGACGAAGCAGCTTTATAGTTATCCCTGTTTTTCAATAGTGGCGTTCATTGAAGATCAGTTTGTGACTGAAACTGTGATAACTTTTTGTATTTTACCAATACGTAGGTGATAATTTTGTCTGTTTCTTTTCATTGTGACTTATGTTTGTACTTCCTTTGTGTTGACTAATTTTTTAACTTAACCTGTAGCTTCCTTATTAGTATCGACCTTTGAATTTACCGAACAACAAGCCGGTGAGTTGGGATACAATAAAGTTGATATTTTTGATCCCAGCCAATCTGTTAAATAACATTACTCTCATTCAATACTGTTGGTAATCTATTACTTCAGTTTCTTATCAAAAGATTCTGGGTTTTCGAAGCCCAATGCCTCAGTGGATACGTATTGCTAACATAAACTCTCAGACTATAATGAAAAACCACACCTAATGCTTTCTAGATTTGAATAATTCTCCAATAATTTTTAATCATAATGTAACCATCTAAATTGACTTCCATTCACCATGATACTGCAACACAAACATCAGTTCAGTGTTCCCTTAGTTTCTATTGGTTAGCAATAAGTAAGGTCAAACTACAACATGAAGAGGAAATCCTACTGACACACAGGCATAGATACTCATACACTGACTAAAATCACATAAAATTCTCATTTCCCAGTATTATAACCATATTAATTTTAATATTAACAATTAATAATGATAATATGATTATTATTATCATAGTTTATCAGTCAATTAATTATTGATACTTTTTACAAATGATATATGATTGTAACGAATATTTTACAGGAATTAAAATTAGATTTATATATCACAATTATTTCAATTAATTCTTTAATAAATAATAGTAATAATAATAATAATTATTATTATTATTGTTATCATAACTGATGGTATAAATAGTAGCGTATTAATAATTTTCTACCGAAAATTAAATTTTTCCCGCCAGCACTACAAAAATTATTTCAAAACGAATATTAATGATATTTATGCATATAAATTTATGTGTGTATATTTATAATTTATCACAATAATTATTAAAAATTATTATTATTATTATTATTATTAATTTTAAAATGGTTAAGTGACAGAATTCAATTAGTTAAATTTAATTAAATAATTTATTACTTTGTCTATCTCTCTACCTCCGTCTCATACACATGCACACACACACATATATATATATATATATATACATATATATACATACCCTCTCTTGCTCGCTATCTCTCTTGTATTTGGCCTTAATTATTCTCGCTGCTGTAATAATATTTAACATTTTGATAAGTCGGTTAATTATGCTTGTTCAGCAATTAAGCAGTAATTAATTAGGTATAAATAATATTAATGTGTACATCTATTAATGCATATATATATATATATATATATATATATATATATATATATATATATATATATATATATATACTCCGGACATTAATAGGCGATAGTGAAACGACTGCACTTGGGTGTATGTGTATTTCATATATTATGCCTATACATGTAATTGTCTACAACGAATAATTCAGGATGGATAGATGAACGAGTTTTGTGTACAGTGGCATAATAATAATAATAATAATAATAATAATAATAATAATAATAATAATAATAATAATGCTCGTTCAATTAATATCGAGAGCATACAAATGAAAATGAATAAATAAATAATCTTTTTATTACAGATATTTATGTTACTTATTTCTCGTAATTGCATCTATTGAAAACATTATGTGCTTCAAAAAACAACTTTTGTGAACATTTTATAATTAGGAACATTTATAAAGACGACTTTTCTATGCGATGATACAACTCGATCTGAGGCATCATATCTAAATAATGTATAAATTATTACTGTATGCTTCATAGACAATCACCGAAAACTAAGAAGCTGTAGGAAGCTAATTGGTTATTAATAAGTTATATCCAGTTACTGTGTTATGCTTTTGAAGGTTGAAACCAATCGATGAAAATCAAATTTCAAAGGTCTCTGCTGAAATAATTTAGAAAATGTTGAAAACTATACTTCGAAAAATTGATGAGAAAAATAAATACTCCGAAAATTTAAATATTTAAATAATTTTAGTTTGTCGGTATGAGGTTGTGGAGATTGTTAATTTTGTGGTTGAGATCATGAATCGATTGATGTTAGACCACCACTAAAACTTGGAGTCCCATACTAGGACGAAACCGCCATCCAGTGTTTCCAGGTTTTCAACGGTTATTTAACATCAGTTTGTGATCTTCATTTTAGTCTACTCACCAATGACTTCTTGAAGATCTAGTGAAGATTTGTGCCTGTCATAAATGCCTTTGAATAAATGTTTCGTTGTATCGTAAATTGATAGTTATATCATTGGTCTTCGACTCAGTGGTTCTAATGATTCAAGTTTCCGCTGCGCGACCTGAAAATTATATTGTGGGTACAAATTCAGAATGAAAAATTTCATACAGGGAAAAAGTAGTTGTCAAATGCTTTCTGGTTTTCAACAGTATATACTTATCCAAAATGTGTTCAGTTTGTGTCTATTACAGTTTACAAATAACACCAAAAGACTTTTCTTCACCTAGAAAGAAATATTTTTATCTTAAAGAAATTCACATCAGATAGTTTAGTTGGTCATTAACAATAGACTTCCACATATAATCATAATACTTTTGTTTTATTATTTTCATTTTGTGTACTAATACCGCATGACCTTATGTAATCAGTCAAGAATGCTACTATTATACCATACATTTGTAAAAACAAAGTATTCTCTATACTGGTAGTGACTTCTAATACGAACTAATTAAAAATGAACTCTTAAATTTCAACTCGAAAAATTTCATGGTATTGGAGATTGTCCTATTTGTGGTTTACATACCGCGTCTAGCAACTGAAAATCAGGATGAAGTTGCTGAATATGTCAAGATAATATAGGATTCTTCAGTAATATACATCTGAAAACTCTCCACGGACAGAAGTGAAGATTTTCAAGCTACGAAACAAGAGCTTATCACATTAATGTCTGACGATTAGGAATGCCAAATTTAGTCTAGTCGCGAAAACAGAGTGACTATTATCGACTTTTATCAGTGACACTTGTCTCACACCTGTGATGGTTGATGTTCGATGATTATATCTCGTATTTTGAAACTCCGTCACTCTAAAATTTTTTAGAATTTCTCTTATCGTTTTATTTGAAACAACAGAAGATTTTAATAACAACCCCAATAAATTTATTTATTCTAAGTCAGAATGGAATTTCAGTGCTCTTTAATTCTATAGTATAAACATCTGATGTAGGTTGAAAATATGGATCAAACGAATTTCTACACCATAATCCAATGGTATCATCTTCATTAAGGAACGTAACGGTCCTGAATTCAAACCCATGTAAAATCATTTAGCGCGTGCACACACACATACACCCTAGAATCAAGCTGCTAATCCAGTTGGTTAGTGTTGCATAGTTTTCAATTTGTGATGGGAAAATCACTTTTGCAAATCATTTTCCTCGTTTTTTCCGAAGTGATTTCAAAACTTCTCAATGCAACAGAGAAAAACTAAGATGGTTTCCTTGATAAAAATATAAAATAACATGTAAAATGATATATACGTGAGAAATAACTTACATCCATTCATTCAGTCAATCACTCATTAGTTTATTAATTAAAATTTTTGCTACTAAGAATCAATTCACTAAATTCATCATTTAGTTTTTATTCTTCGTAGTTAAAACTTCTTTGAAATTTCAAAAGTTTTGTTCCAGTTATAAATCTCAGTATTCCAAAGTTATAATTAACATTTGGTCGGGTACTTATCAATAATAGTAATACAACTACTAACAACAATAATAATACCATTATTATTATTATTATTATTATTATTGATGTTTTCTACTCTTAAGCTGTTTTTTTCTACTCACTTATTTACACCTCTATTTTTCCTTACTCATTTGGGACACCTAAATTGATTGATTAATCTAATTATAAACAAAAATGGTGTAAAGGTAAACAAAATTACTAATTCATATATTCTCAATATTTTATTGATTGTTCATTGTTCAATTATTCTTTGTTTTATTACTAATAATTATAGTTTTTTCTTTATTTTTGTTTTCATTTTATTTTATCCATTCGGTTCACTGTTCATCCATTCATTCATCTATGCTTTTGTCAATAATTTCTTATACACATATATACAAATAATCATTGAATAAATGATTAATTCGTTTGCAACTCATCTATCTCATTTACTCATGTTTCCCATAAATACAAAAAAATTATGTATATGAATATGAACGTATATTCTTCATTCATCATTCTGTCACATCTGGTCGGTGATTTGTTAAAAAAAATTATTTTTACTCGATCGATTGTCGACTCATTCGTTTCATCTATCCATTCATTCGTATTTCATGCACACACATACACACCAACGTATACACATTATTATACATAAATGTCTTTTTCAACTTGTTTAATTAGTCTCTTCAAAATCTGAACGAATCGATCGAAGCATGTTTTCTTCCCTTTTCCTTCCAACAATCTCTCAAACAATGGCTAAATCAAATCGTATAATTCCAAATCAATTAAATAATTTACTACTACCTAATTTAATGCATTCTGATGATTATTATACAACAACAACTATGACTACTACTACTGATACTAGTACTACCACCACTACTGACAACAATATAAGTAGTATTGAAAATAATCCTAATCACATGAATAATTCAAATGGACAAAATTTCTTGAATGTTCATGACGATAATCTAAATCAAACATCATCACATCAATCAGACCAAAGTATACATAGTAAATTAAGTCCACTATCGGGACAAATGAACGGAATAGACCCATCTGGATCACCGCCAACAATTCATTCACCGATCACTAGTGATAACAATAAAAGTAAAAAAGCAAGACATAGGTAAGTAGTTGTGATTGATTGTTGTTGTTATCGTTATTCTCTATTCGAATTTTAAGAATAAATTATCATTCATGATCACATCAATATTAATTAAATAGGTTCTTCGAGAGGGGGTAATTTTGTAGCAAAAGGTTGAAAGAAGAAAATACTTAAATAATTAAACGAAGGGTAAAGGTAAACTTACGTTATCAAACCAATGTGTGTTGAGAAAATGACTTTAAGATTATGAATTATTTAGAAAGCTATAAAGTAGTTTACCAAACTACATCAAACCAGGATGTCAATCATGGACCACATAATGATCATTTCCAGTGAAGAAAACATCGTTAGGCGTACAAAAATGTTGTATTAACGAAGAGAACACTCACATGAAAAATATGGGAATGAAATGGCTCTGCATCAGTGTACAGAAGCACAAGACAAACCAATGTTAGAGTTGGAATTAAGAGTTCATGTATATACAAACGTATCCTAAATCCTAACACTTGATCGTGTTCATAACCATAGATTCCAATGATTAAGTACCTATGGTAAACCTCTGAAGGTTGAATATTCACATGAAAACTATATGTTCTCCGTAACTTCTTTGATTTCATACTATATTTCAATCATTCATATATGTTGTTCTTTAACTAGCTAAAACTATATAACATTTCAAGGTTATTCGGCAGTATGATTTACCTTCACCAAACCAAATACATTCATTGTGATCTATAGAAAATTCTATACTTCATTCACTTCACAAGTTTTTTGAATAGTTCTTGTCGTGAACACGGAGATGGTGATTGATAGAGATGTAACATCATCATTAGTGCTTATTGTTTTGCGGTGTAGAAATACTGGCATAATTTATATCACGAATCACGAGAGTTAAACGTTTTGGGTTCAGTACCAGGTGAAATGGTTGATCCGATTCTCCATAGTGTCCTAACTAACGTCAGTTCATACTTCGATTGTTGCAAAAAACAAATACACGGGAAAAATTTGACGAGAATCGATTATATATATATATATATATATATATATATATATATATATATATAGGTTTTTGTGAATCCTCCATCACATGAAAACTCGTAATTTTATTATATGTGCTTAAAAAAATAATTTTAATGATCCTGGTATGATAATATAAATATTGACATTGATTACCAAAGATAGCGTGGATAATCTTCTATCCCCTTTTTATCTATGTTTGTCTTATATTCTCGATTATCTAGTTTTTTGGTTTATCGTTTTTTATACTTGTCTTAATAAGGAAACGTATGTTGTCAGATTGTTGTGCGCTAGTTATTAATCGCTAAATAGTAACCAACGCTAAATTTATCCGGTCTTATAGTGGTGATCAAAATTTACCTGTAAACTTACATTGTGTCACTAATTTGAGTGACTTGACTTCACCTGAACTGTGTTGAATTGCTAGGTGGGTCATAATAGTCAGTAGGTATCCCCAAAAGTAGGTTATGTGCCACTTGTCACTCATTAGCAAAATTTATGTGTAATTCTAAGGGAAATGATGGTCTTTATATGATTCGAATCCACACTATTCAAATTTGGACTTCCAAATATTACGACCGCGAAGTTAGATTATGCGGGTTCGAATCCCACAATCAGGATTAGTTCCTTAAATATTACAGATATGTTTTGATTGCTGCTACATGATAAGCGTCTTCACATCACATTGTTCATAATGCTATAGAAAGGGACCAAACACTTTAAACATGAAATGAAGAAGGAGAATCTTTACTTGCCCAACATTTTGTCACATTATTATTGCTGATAATTTTTTTTATTATTTGCGTTACTACAGTCAATAAAATTTGAATTTTTTCAGTTGATATGCTTTTTACAGTGTTAAATGTCATTTTTGCTGTGTTACACACTATTATACATGTATATGTGTATGTTTGTGTCACCTTTTCTACACCATTAGTACTAGTTTAATGAAAAACAAACATTTCATTCATAAAAAAGTCATTACGTTGTTTCTTTTGTGTTTGTGAGTGTGTGTGTATGTATGCAGATACCACTAACTTCTTTTAGCCTTTTGTATTGGACACTAGTCATTTATGACTGGCATGTATAGTAACATATTTTAATAGTATTGACCTTATTCTGTCAGTCAAGTTTTTGTAAAATTATCAGAAATGTGTTAATTGAGTGAATAATTATTTCATGTCTATAAATACAATATGAATGTAGTCTGGATAGTCGATTATATTTTGGAAAAGATTTGTAGTTTCTTGAGATTGATATTCACGGCAGCAAAGCATAAGTGTAATACAAGTTCTGACTGATACCTTTATATTTATTTAATGAAGTTCGTCGATATTTGAACTAGATAGCCCAGTGGTTATTTTAAGCGAAAAGTACTGGATTCAAGTATCAGTGTGAACATTAATAATGAAATGTGGGCGTATTCAAACTGTGAGCCGAAAAACAGGATAAAACATGTTTTTGAATGTAACTGTTAGAAGTATACCAAATAGGATAAAACTGGACTACGTTTGTTTGTAGTGTAAGTACTGAGAAAAAGTCATAAGCGTAAAAGTTTGAGACATTTGCATTACTGAACGGTCATCTATGAGATTTCACTGAAATCGCAAACTTATCTAAATTAGACAATCATTGAAAATCTGAAAGCTGTGAAGGTCCGTCTCGTCATCATATGATACTTTCCAGTCGTGCTCACCTCTTAATGAGCAACTGGGACTCAAATCCATGACCATCAGTCTACGGACCATTGAACCTTGTAGAAACGGTACTCATCGAAATCAATCGAAGGTGGTCGCACAATATTGTGAACTGAATTAAGTTAGACTTGTGTACCACTAAGTCACAGCTCAATAATGTAGGGTTTAAGTATGCGCACGTGAAATCGGAGGACTCAGGTTTTAGTCCCGGTTGTGAAGTCAGTGATGAGCACTACTGGGGAGTCCCATATAATGACGAGACAGTCGTCAAAAGCTCTTAGGTTTTCATTGATTGTCTAATTTACATTAGTTCGTGATGTAAATAACACTCAACAATCTTTACAACCCCACACTAATATACATGAAATTACTTTCAAACGATGACAATGTTTTTCGTCTATTGGTCTATAATAAAATAGGTTAATATATTCAGTGGTTACGATAGTCGTGCAGACGGTAAGTAGATGATCTTAACTTACTCGTTTGACAGTCAGTAGTTCTATAGACTGAAAACTAATCACTAGTAAACGTGTGGTTATTAGTAGTATAGAACGTTCGTGGAAATTTGCGAAATTTATGGTCCAGTGCTTCCTATTTTTTTTCTAAAGGTTGTCTAACTATGATCAGTTCATGATGTAGATATAGAAATATAATTTTAAAAAAGTCCTGGACAGATAATTAATGATGGTAATGTGATACATGTTTTTTGTTCAAAAACATATTATTATTAAATCTGCCTATTATTTTACAGAACAACATTTTCAGTTCAACAGTTGTCAATTTTAGAAGCAGCATTTGATAATTGTCCATATCCTGACGCTGTAACACGAGAAGATATTGCGTCCAAATTGTCACTCAGTGAGTCACGTGTACAAGTATGGTTTCAAAATCGTCGTGCTAAATGGCGTAAACAAGAAGGTAGTCAATTATTAACCAATGGTAATAATTCAAATAATACTTGTACTCCTACTAATACTGTTAGTAGTACTACTTTGACTGCTACTACTACTACCAATAATAATATCAATGGTATCATTACATCTACAGCATCGATGACATCATCCTCTTCAACGTCATCATCTTCATCTAATTTATTAACTGTTGAAAATGATGAAGAAGATATACGAATAAATACAACAAATATTTTAGAAACACCATTTTTTGCAACAACAATAACAACGACACCAACAGGTCGTAAAAGAGTTTCCGGTTCAAGTGTACAACAACAACATCATCATCAACAGAAAAATAGTTATTCTAATTATAATAATTATAAACAAATCAATGATGATACAGATAGTATAATAATGAATCCAATTTCACCATCTCATTTCAATTTATCATTGATTACAAATGATCTTTTAAATAATTATCATCAACAATTGAGAAATTTTTCATTTCTCAATGATAATATAAAATATACATCATCATCATCATCATCATCAACAACAACAACAACAATAACAACAACATCAATTACTCCACTGATTCATAATGACTTAGTCAATTGTTCTAATCAAACAACAATATTTAATGATAATTTATTCAATACAGCTAAATCATCAGAATTAATAAATTCACATTTATTTGATAAATCATCAATAAAAACTATTGGAAATAATAAACATTCAATTATTCATTCTAATTTAAATTGTTTAATTAAATCATCTGTAAATAATAATAATCGGCATTATCAACATTATTTATCAAGTAGAAAATCAACTCCAACTACTTGTAAACAACGTAAACACACTATTAAAAATATCAATAATAATCACGATGATGATAATGATAATAATAATGATAATATTGATAATGGTGGTCCTGTTAATGCTAATGATGATGATGAAGATGACTTTAATGATGATATGGATGATGGTGATGATGATGATGATGATGATGAAATGGACAAGACTAGAACAATGGGAGTGAATAATTCAAAAACTAGAGATTTACCATTTTCTGTTTTATCGCTTACAGCCAATAATAATAATAGTAATATTGGTAATAATAATAATGATAACTGCAATAGTATAAATGATCCATTTGCGAAACTTCAGTCATCATCATCCAAACTGTTTTATCAAAATCTCATAAAATCTATAAAATCAATTAATAATATTGATAATCATGAAAAGAAAAATTCTAATTCTCTCAATTCTTCATTATCTACATCAATCCCGTTGAATGAGATCAACTGTTCAATGAATGAATTAAATTCTACTGAAGATGTAACGAAATTTTTAACGAATCTATCTGATTTTGGTGTTTTAATGAATTCATTATTGAAATCTAAATTAAATCTCTTGACAAAAACATCAACTTTATCCGATTGTAATGGAAGTAATCATGACCCATGTTTAAATACTCTGAATGATAATACAACTAGTACTAATGCTACTCAAATTACCAATACTGCTAGTACTACTAATACCAATAATAATAATACTGTGATTGATAATGTTATTCAAAATTCAATTTTAGAAAATTTGATAACTTCCTGTCCACAATTCCCTTTCAATTTACAATATTTAAATGGTACACAATTAAATCAGCATGGATTAGATTTGAAAGTGGAATCAAATACAAATAAACAAATGAGTAAGTATATATATATATTATTAATTGGTTTGATTATTTTGCAACAGTTTTTAAAAAATATAAAATAAATTCAAATAATTATATACATAAATTGGGCCAACCAAATTTCGAGGTGTACACATTCCAACGGAGACTGATCATGATTCAGTGTTTATTATCAATAAAAAGGGACAATTTAAACCATATTAATAAATAAAGTTTATTAAATTTTTACGTTATAGTCTCTCTCAAATTAAACAACCATTGAAATGTAAGAAACAGTATCTGACTATTTCATCTTGACTTCATAATACTCTTGAACAAGTGTATATCCACAACTTTCTCGTGATAATTATCAAATATGAAGTCACTCCATAATGCATTATTATAAACTGCACAGCTTTTATTTATTGTTAAACAATAAAAGGAATCAGTTAAGGTGGTATACATCCAGAATGATAGAGGACATGAGAAGAACATGAAAATAAGTGTTAAGAATAGATAGTTACTAACAGATAATATATTTAAAAAAGGTTAATAGTTAGCATAAATATAAGGAAATTTACTAAAGGACGGGAAAAAAATAAAAAGTATGAGAGTGAGTGTGAAACAGAAACAGAACAATGAAACCCGATAAGTAAGAACAACCAGATGTGAAGTAAAAGATTCGGATAGATGTTGATCAGCTTTTTTTGTGTGTATAATTGACATAAATGATATCATTCATCCAAGCTCTAAAATACATTAGAAGTATCAGTATTAGTATTAGCAGTAGTAGTAATGATATTAGTAATAATCATAAAAGATCAAGATAATCAATTATTACAAAATAAATGATGAAACCAGACAAATTGAGATTGACACAGACACACAAGCTAAATAAGACATTTAGCCACAGGGAGAGATGTTATTCTGAAAAGAAGCAGGATAGAGTAAAAACAAAATTGACTTTTTTTTCTATACCAGAAAAAGAGAGACAGTCTCTCTCTCCCTCTCATTTTCTTCATTAAAAACACAATTTAAATATGAGTGAGGTAAGGCAATTAAAAAAAAGTAGTAGCACACAAAAAGAAAAACCGAATGAAGGATAGAACTACATTAATTCAACATTGATTAATTAATTCATTATTTCAATTCATTAAAAAATTAAAGAGGAAAACTAGTAGGTGAGGAAGAAGACGATGACAAAGAACAAAAGACTAATAAAGAAACTAATTTATGTAAGAATCTAAGCACAGAAACTTATCACATCTACATGACCAAAATTATTTTACATCTAATTATCAACCATGTGGAAAAAATATGTACAAGATTTATGTATTTTTGTGTATATTACTTATTCACATGGAAATAAATTCCCTTTTTATATGTACGTTTGTTTGTATGCATATGATAGAGAGAGTTCAAACAAATGACATGTCGAATTTAATAAACAGAGACGGATTAAAAAGGATCGAAAGTCCGAAAGAGTACGGGTGATTAGTGCATGAGAGAGAGACAGATCGTGCGCATTCATAGTGGATGCACGAGAGATAGTTGAAATCAACAACACATGTTAATAATTACGTCTGAAATTCTTAATTAATAATGTAATATTATTCCCTCACACATATATGTACCCACATATTTTAGTCTATTGTAGTCTTTATCAAGAGTATAGATCATGACTAGGTTTATAATTTTTTGCAAAAACAAAATATTATTCATTGTTTGTCATACAAGAGATGATGATATTACAGTAAGTTATGCTGAAGTGAACTGATTCTGGAAGTTATACACAAAACATAAGACAAAGAGTATATATATACGAAAATATCAAGTGTTAAGTTGTTGATGGTAGAAGGAAGGCATCCAAGACCTATTTTTCGTGCTCGGTGACAACCATCAGTAAGGCTTAACTACAATATTGAGATTTTAGCCTGTATCATAGTTTCATAGACTGAAACGTTATCTTCAGGCTACTTGAGCGTCCATTGTCTTCCTGTAGAACTAAGACAATTACATCAAGTGATCACCGATTTGCAACCAATTTTAAATTTGTCTAGTCTTTGTTACTGATGGAATTTTTATTCATAATGCTTCAATATGATCATTAGTCTGAGTGGTTTGACGTCGCGTGCATTATGCTGAGAAATATGAAGTGTTTACCACAAAAAATGAAAGTGATTTTTTATCATATATCGATGATATTTTGCTGTGAATTATTGTAGAATATTTCATGCAGTATTAAAACAGATAGCTGGATTTTTCATGAACTACGGTTCAGTAGCATAGTGTTAGAGATTGTCATTTGTACTAATGAAGCTAATGTCTCATGAAGATAAAGAGAATTATATGTGAAAATTATATTTGAAATATTCTCAGCGATTGAAATTTAAATAACTCCAATGTTTCGTCCAGCAAACTTGTCTGAACTTCTTCAGAGTAGTAATCATAATCAATGTTATCAAAGAATATGTAGTGTTTGAAAAATCAACTCAAATCTAAACATTAGAATTATCTAAATTTCAATCACTGAGATTACTTAAAATATAATTTTGACATATAATGTCTTCTCAATACTAGGCGCTCAATTTTTGTCAAAATTTTCGTTTTAATATTGACGAACATTCTTAGAAGATAAGGAAAATTGTTTAGTGGATTGATACCTTAGTATTTAAGGAGTCTGGTTTTCAGTTAGTAGGTTGCAGATTTGAATCCCACTTTACCTCCTACTGTTTGGGCAGCCAAGCAATTTACAAGAAATTATATTTCAAGTCCTTCTTTAATGCTGATCTAATTCTATTAATCAACTTGCAAAATGGCTACTAGTATAAGTAACCGAAAACCATGTGCACTACGTTAGGCGTTTGGGGTTAGTCTAATAATAAGCTTGCCGGATTCAGAATAGCATAGCCGTAATTTCTCAGATAGTCAAGCTGAGTAATTTGTGTTCAAATCCCATGGGGAACATCAATTTTCTCAAGATACCAGGTAGACCACGCTGGTGAGTGCCAACCTGGGTAAAACCTATGTTGAGTAAGACTTCCAACCGTCTTACACACAAAAAACAATCGACATGGACGGAGATTCTCATGACTTTATAAGTTGAAGACGGCTTATGCCATCGGTTAAATAACTAACTAACGTTTTAAGGAAATCCAATAATTGTTTCATTCTAGGACGGAACCCCGTCAACAGTGTATATCCCCAACAAAAATTGATCCCTAGACGTTTAGATCATTCATGGCGTTTTGAATCCATACGATTTTCTGAGTAAAAGGCGAGAATCGCAGGTGCAATTTTACTTCCAAGACTAGTTCATGTAAAGAGTGACAGTATACATATGTTTATATGTGACTTTAACATTCTGGAAGCTAAAAACGGTAACAGAATTAAAAATTATTTATACAGATCCTAATATTTAAACCACTATTTTCTATGATCCTCTTAGAAGTTTGACAAGAAGCGCTGAGTGGTTGAAGCATTTTCACAGTTTCTAAAGTCCTTTTCGAGTAACTATTGAGGTTTCCATCCAGCTAACACAATTAACATGAGTGATATGGTTACCAAGTTTAAAAAAATACAAAAGTCAGATCAATAATCTATTTTGTTAGTTTATTAAATTTTAATTGAATTTAAAAAGAAAAGAGTAAACAATTCATCTTAGTACACGTACACACGCACACACAAATCGATGCACATAAAAGGGGAATTAAAATCTACCTACTATTTATTTCCTCACACAATAAGATTTTCCTCTCAAGGAAACCTATCAATTAACTAATAAAGTTCACGATAATAATAACAATAATAATAATAATTACTATTGTTGTTATTATTATCATGACCAATAATATCTAAATGGAACAGTTCAACAAACAAACTAACTAACAAATAAATACAATCCTATAAAAATCAATAAGATATATTTCTTTATTTTTGAATAAATAACATGAAACATCCCATAATTATAGGATTTAATTTAATTTACAATTTTTGTTGTAGCCTTTTTTATGATAACAAAACAAGTAATGTGTCTTGTCGTGTTTCTGTGGTACCATTTTAATTCCAACTTTGTTTATATATATATATATATATATATATATATGGATTTGGTTTTTTGGTTGTTTGAAATTAGACTATGTGAATACCTGCACAGTCAGTCATATGGTAAGGCATTTGAGTTAAAAAGAGGATAGAATTTTGTATGCATAAGCCTCTTCATATATATATATATGCGCAAATATGAGTGAAGTGAAATCTTCGAGATAATAGATTAAACAATTAGGACATAAACCAAAAATAGAGATTATCATAAATCTAAAACTAATAACCAATTAGGAAAGTATTTTTTTATTTTTTGCTATCTTTGTCTTTATTCGCTACTTACTTCTCAGTCTCTCTTTCTCTGTCTTTCTTTCGATATTCATTCCGAATTAATAATTATATATCACATATATTTAGAGAGAGAGAGAGAGATCGATAATACATAATTATCTGGACAAATCTTTGATATTCAGATATACAATGGTTTGTCTACTAATTAATAAGCACTGAACGGAGGGAGCGAGATACATATAAATCATTAACATTATGCTTATTTTACGAGAGCGAGGGTGTGATTTTCAATAACAGTTAATCTTTTATGAGACGGAAAACATATTTTAATTCTTAGTTTTTTTAACTACTTATAATTTTGATTAAGTAGATTAAAAGCTCGCCAAAAATAAACATGACAAATGATATCCTATTTTTTACTACTGAAATTTTTGAATTTTCTTAGAAATTTCGCGTTTTGATTGGCAGAACCTGTATTTGGTATCCAGTAAATAGGGCGAATAAAAGTCAAACTATTCCATTAGACGGGTTTTCCAATTTTAAGTTTACTGAAATTTATTTATTGTCTTGTGTAATTCATTTTTTTTAAAATAAAAATTATAAATGTGTATGCTGTCCTCTTGAATAGGGTTGAATAAATTAAGAGATAAGTCATTTTAATTGAACTATTCATATTTCGAAATCTTTCAGTTTTGGTAATATACTCACATACATTCACATAAGTGTAAGGAAAGAGAAAGTAATTAAAATTTTTACGAAACTAAATGATCTTAAACTTAGTAAATATTTTAATTTACTTAAATTAACTTTTACATGATCGACAGTATTCTCTTCAATGCTTTTTATAACAAGTTGAATGTGAGGAGAAATGAATTGTTTATAACAATAATAATAATAAACTGAAGTGATTTGTATAAGATATTGTTTTTTCCTATTTCCCTCTCGTGGTTTTTCTCTTGTTTTCATTTATGAGAAATAATAATTTAAGTGTCAATTTTAGTAACATTTGACAAAAATTATTTTAATTGAATGACAGTCTAATAATTTTCAATCAATTTCTATGTTAAAACTCTTTTCATACTTGAGATTTCCTTCGTATACATGTATGTATTTTGTGAGGTGATTTATTTGTTTTAAATATTTGAGAAATTAAATTGAAATCTTTCTGTTTCACACAAACATACAAATTAATTTATGGTAATTGTGCCCATGAAGTGGATTTTATATTTTGAAAGTCAAGTTTTTTGTTCTTCGTATTTATTTATTTATTTATTTTAAAATGTGATAAATAAAAGAAGAGGAGTATTTTGAAATTTACAAACTGAATTCTACCATTTTTTTATCGGTTGGTGTATGCGTTTGTTGATATATATTTACTTCAAATTTTGGTTACGTTAGAAAAGGGTATTGTGGAGATGAATTTATTTTGTAAGTTGTGTGCACCACAGACTGATCTCACTTAGAATACTTTTTTTAAAACGAAAGAGTATTGGATAGTTATTTAAACTTAATAGAATTTTCAGTGGTACTGTAGTGAACAAGAACACAAATGGGGACAATCGAATGTACTTGACAACAACTTACAGTACTTGTTAATATAATCTAACAACCATATATTAAATGCTCAATTTGAAAAATATCCATCAATTGTCTCAAAATGACTCAGACTTCATTGTTCTTACATTTTCATATAAATTGCAATCTGTCTTCATTCTTTACTGTTCGATCTTCTTGTCTCTCTGCTGCCAGACATTCTGTTCACGAATAACGTCATATACTACTTATGTCTACATAAGTAGCACACACCACAGTACCTCAACGGATTAATTTGTGATGAATACAACCTTGACAAAACCCCTTCGACTGAACTATAATCGTTTCTGAAGTTTTAGTGAGAAGTTCTCACAGGCAGTGGGAAAGCATAACGGGATTGAAACAGTTGTCATAAATGGTGTTGTATGATCATTGAGCCACATATAAAATTGACTTAATTTGGAATTGTACCATTCGACATTGACCTGGTGGTTCTAGCTGTTGAACCCTGTCTATGAAACCAGAAGGTCCTGGGTTTGATCCCCTGAGGGTTTCTGGTGGGCACTATTGAAAATTCCCATTCTAAGACCAACACAGATATCTGGTACCTTCTGTTTACCAGTGGTCTCACAACTGAGATTAATTTATGACAAATACAACCTATGACTAAATACTCTTTTAATCTTAAGTTTATTTGTATGATTTTACAAAAAACTTTCGTCAAATTTAAAAATAAACGCTGATTTCAAACAGACATCATACAATGAACTAACAGTCCTACTTCAATACTACTCAATACTACTCAATTATCATTCTGAACAATACGAAATCAATATGCCTGAAATCATTCTTTGTACATGGTATCATCGTAGGTTCGCTGAATCATTGAATCTAATCAGTCAAGTGTTTCCAAATTCATTCGATTTAAGACTCGTTTTATGATCTTTATTTCACGTTGTCAGTGTACAATGTGGAACTAACTTTCTGTTTCCCACTATTTCTTTATTGATCTCAGTTCATGACATATGATTTAATCTCACGTTATTTTATCAATCGATATCAATTTTAGTTATCTTTAACCGCTATATTTAATACTGGTTAACAAGTATTCACTTCCCAGATGTTCTTACCATGAACTAATATCAGTTTGATGCACTCAAAGTATAATTTCCGTTTTCAGATAAAATCTACATCAAAAGTTAGCGTTTTTAGGTAACTTGGGTTTCACATAACGTCACATTCATTGTATGATTGCATAACAGACATATTTTAGTAAATTTCTTGCATTTTAAAAGTAGGGGATAATCATAAATCTTAGTAGGCTCTTGATAAAGTACAAGTTAGTTATCATACCATTTTAAATGTCTCTCAAAATTGAAGGATAACCATTTCCTAATCTGATTGGCTCATTACCATAGTATACTTGTGATAAAACATCTAATTATTAATAATTATTTAGGATTTCAATATGATATGTTCGTTGTAAAATTTACAGGTTGTTTAATTTCGCTGGATGGTGATCAATATCATGTGTGTCAAGTCCTTCCTAGTGCAGATCAATACTATCGACCAAGTTGCAATGTGGCCACTAGTCTAGGTGACCCGACATTGCATGCACTATGTTGAGATTAGATGGTGGTTGGAGGTAGTCGACAAGAAACATTGGACCCGCGTTTCGTTCTACTTAGCACTCGTCAGCAAGGTGTACCTGTAATCTTGAGGGAACTGGTGCTCCCTAACGGATTTGATTCCGTGTCATCTAGCTTCATAATCACACGGGATCGAGTCCGTCTGGGAGCACCAATTCTCTCAAGATTACAGGTACATCTTGCTGACAAGTGCCAAGTAGCACGAAACGCGGGTCCAGGGTTTCCCGTTGACTACCTCCAACCACCATCTAAGAATTAGGGTGAATATTCCATTAATCGGTGATCCTCAATAGTTCTTTCAGAACCAATCATTTTAGGGAGCTGTAGATAGTCGAGAAGAAATCCTGCTCGCCATAAATTTTGTAGATGTTGACACTCACCTGTAAAGCTTACCTGGATTCTTGAGGGAACTGATACACCCAATGGGAGTTTTTCGGATAGTGACTAAATTCCTATAGTGATTGACTGATCACTGAGTAGTGATTAGTGTAATATTTGTTCAGCCTTTTAATGCCGATCGGATTGATAATGTCTCAACCCATGAAGTTAGGTGATGAGGCTAGAATTCTATAAGAAATAACAGTTCCCTCAAGATTTCAAGTAAGCTTTTCTAAAAAATGTCAACTACGACGAGACTCAGGTTGAGGTGAGTTTCCGCCCTAACTTCATCCATCCATCTAAAATCTTAAAATAGTTCACATGATGAGTTATTTAGACTAGCAGTCGATAAAATTCAATCACCACCATAACAATGAATAAGAATGAGACTGGACATTACTCAGTGATCAACCAATTGTTAAAACTCATTGTATTTCACCTAATTTACAGTAATAACTAATGGTTCATCAGTTTTTTATCATTATTTCTACTTTCTCTTCAACCAGATTCAAATCGCATGGATAATCTATTTGGCCCATCTGGAGATCAGTCGGAAAATCAATATCCTGATATACAAAAACTTATTTTCAATGAAATATCCTCATCACAAACATTGTCACCATCTACACTAACATCTAATACAGCTAACAATCTACTCTGGGAATACTTTTTGAATCGTTTACAAGATCCAAACAATTCTTTATTATCTAAATCACCATCTCTTGGAACCTCGACAATAACAACAAATTCATTACAAAATAATACTAATAACTCTAATAACTCATGTTCAAACGATTTAATTAATCACCCTGATTTATTGAATTTGTCCAATCATCAATATTCTAATATGAATATAGACTTTCGCAAGTTTTTACAGTATACAAATTTGAAAGGGAAAGAAACAAGTTTAAATTTCAACTTTAACAATTCTTCTACCAATAACACTACTGCTACTACTACTACTACTACTTCAAATAATTCTCCTAGTAATCTACATCATACTACTGCTGCCACAACAACATCTTCGTCGAATGGTCTGATGTCGGATTCACTAGATAAACTTAAAGATGATTTATTATTGACCAGTACAAATTTAAATAATCCTATCGATCAAATGGCAAAATTATCACAATCCGATATTTTCCATAACTATATTAAAAAATTTCAATCATTTGGAAATGATTTAAATTGTGTAAATAATGATAGTGATAGCAATAATGATAACAGTAATAGTATTACACAACAAATGATGCAATATTATGCTCTGTGTGCGTTTGTTCAAACTACTACACTTTTGTCCAACTCATCATCTTCCACATCGACATGAATACTTTATGTATAAAAAATATCACTTTGATCATTAACACAAAAATGTGCATATACAAGTAGATTGACGAATAGACAGATAGATAAACTAACATTTATCCCTGTGAATACTCTCCTTATTGTGCATATATACATAAGAAAAGTAAAGCCACATTCCTAAAAAAAATACATAGATGAATTATTTCATTGATACTACTGGTAAGTACTATTATTACTACCAATACAGTGATATTCATTTTCATCGTATGGATAGTTAATTAGAAATTTCCAAAAGTAAATTATCATACACAATCTGATACATATTTCAACCAATCTAAACACTTTGCTTCTAATATTACTATTAACAATAATAATAATAATAATAATAATAATAATAATAATAATAATAATAATACTTATAATAATAGTGATAACTGTTAATTTCTATTCTCATTTGTTTTTTTTCTGTATATTACTTTTTTAACCTGTTTGTAATTTCCCGTTCTTTCTCACCCTCATACTCAATTCACTTTACTTCACTTTGTGGTGTTTTTTTGTTGTTGAAAATCACCACTTTTGATGATGAATGCAAATCTTTTGGTGCATACACACAATTAATATATGTTTGTATGTATGCTTGAAACTGTTCATCAGTTTTAAGTAAGAGCTGTTTGTTTGTTTTTTCAAATAAACTTTCAATTATCGAATTACGCGCATGTATGCATAGAACTCAAACTATACAAATATACACATTAATTACAATTACAAAAAGATCTCTTATAGCGTACATACATACGTGAATACATTAAAGTACAGTTTGACTAAAGTACATAGATCTGTGTATATGTTTGCCTGTCTATCTATCTATATATCCATGTATCTGTTTTTATGTATATATAGGCAAACGTCTTACAGATATAATGCGGTATTGTATTGTATTTACAAAAGAAATATCCCATTTTTGTCAAATATCTGTCATATCGTCACATTATCCACTTCATATTATATATTTTAATTAACCTCTGCCTACCTCCATTGTTTCTTACTTCATTCTACTTCTGATTTTAGTCGTTTGATTTTTGTGTATTGATGATGAATCCGTTTCGTTTTATTGTTTCCTGGGGGTTTGGGGATGATTCTTTCTTTTCTTTTTTCTATATATATATATATATATATATATATATATATATATATATATATATATATATATATATATATATATATATATATATATTAATATAAATAAAGACGTATTTAATTATTTACTTGTCTCAGTGTTTTCATGTTTCAAATATTAGTTTTTTCACAGTTCTCTCCAAAACAAATCTTTAGTATTTAGATTAAATTCGGTAGATAATATTCAAATATGAATCGTGTACAGAAAGGAAAACGGAAGATTGTGAACTACTGCAGTTTTCGTGATTATTTATTCAACTTTATAGTAAAAGCTTAATCAAATCGATTTTGAAAGTTTTATGTAATCAACGGATTTTTAATATCTGAACCTAGAGAGCATTAAATTATTTTACTTGCAAATAACTGATCATTGAATAGTGACTAATGTCAAGTTTATCTGGTCCTTTAGTGCTGATCAAATTCTATCGATTAATTTTTCCATTTGGCCGTTAGTCTAAGTGGTTCGACATCGCATGTACTATGTTAAGTTGTTATGCAGTTGGCAGTAGCTGTCAAGAAACCTTGACATCCGTCAACAAGCAGTACCTTTAGTCTTGAAGGAGCTGATATTACACATGGAATTGTAACAGGAGTCACCAAGCTTCATAATCTGAGATGTTACCATTGAGCTATTCGGCTATTCACTTACAACCACCTAAGGCCTACTTTAGACCTATTGCACAGTACATCAAGTAAAACCTCCGTTTCTCATCAGATTTTTTTCAAAACACGAATATCTGGTATTTTTGTTATATGAAAGGATCAAAAGAATCTATGTGAAAATCTATCAGCATAATACTACAAATGTGTGTTTGCACACTAATTTACTCATCAACTGATGTTAAATTCCAACCGGTTCAAATCATACAAATCTGAATGATAATAGTCTGATTGTAAATAAATATCATATAAAAATTACCCTATTCAAATATCAATTACATTTATTTGTGGGGTCAAATAAATCCATATCACCAGTCTTTGTGTTTTTACCGTAAGTCATTGAATTTGAGGCTTTAGTATTAAGTACAAGTTCGTTAAACACACAATAATTAACACATAACGGTTGCATTTTAGTTAAATTTCTGAAAACGAAATATCAACTGACCCAAACCGATCGAGATATACCATCGTAGAAACTGTCATTAAACTGTACGATCAAGAAACATAATACTTTTGATAAAACACTTCAAAACATGAAATTATATGAAAGTTTAGGTGAAGTTTTCATTTAGGCTAGTTATAGTTTGTATTCTTCTTTGAAGGTATTCACTCTTACCATTTTAGTCAACATTCATTCTATTTATACAAATAGAAATAACCTTATCCTTATACAATTTCAAAAGAATTTATTCTTTAATCGATTCACTGTGTAAAATTGAGTTCAACTAAAATGAATTTTTTTTGAGCGGAGAGTTCTCTTTTCAACGAATTCATTTTCAAAGCTGTCTAACAGAGGTTTATTATCATTATTATTATTATCATCCTGAAAAAAATAAGTTTATATATTTGCGATTATACAGCTTTGAAAATGAATTCGCCGAAAACGGAACTCTTCTCTGAATCAATCTTTCTTAATTAAAATGAATTTTTAAAATGTATTCAAACCCGCCTCAAACTTATCAAATGCTTAACAATTTTCTCATAATGTTCAGTATTTAAACTGAGTTAAAACATAAGTGAGAATCTATTGAGATTTCTAAACATATACCAGTTGAAAATTATGTCCCCTTCTCTTTTAATAGTAAACGAAAATGTGGTCATTGTTAGTAGATAAAGCAGACTATGTAAGAAAATCATTTGTTATATCATGGAATGGGTGTGTAAACTACGTATGGTGGCGACTAGTGTAACGAATCTTATCAAGAGTTGAACATATATCATTTAAGGTTTTTGTGATATGAATATAGTTTTGATTTCATTAGGAACATCAATTCCTTCAAAATACGAAACCAAGGTCATTATAGAGCCTCTTGCAAATGACTTCCAACTAGTGGTCATATTGAAACTTGGTAAATAATATTCAATCAATACTAAAAACGAGGAAAACATGTTACTGATTATAACCGATGGAATTTTATTTATATTTCAGATAATTAATCTGTTAAGTTTATATTTATCAAAAATAGAGAGAAAAGAGGATTTAATTTCATGTTATGTATTCATAATTAGTCAGTTAGTTTGTCAGTGTATCCTTGTATTTCGCTTGTATTCGCTAAATCCTCTTTTTCTTAATCAAATCTATTTGTATTTAGAATCTGAATTCTGTAAGAAAAATTATTATAGTTCAACTATACCTGAAATTTCTACTGATTTTGTCAAATCGACTATATCATCATAATAGCAACTATCAGTTTCTTTTTCAATGATTTTAAGCAACAATATGTATTTTATTGAACATCCAGACATATTTCACCGACAAATGATAAAGACTGACAAGCTTATTTTCAACTTCTTTTAAGCTTCTAGTTAGAATATATTCCATAATTCTATCTATCTATCTATCTATCTATCTATCCATCCAATTATCTCCGTATTTGTCTATTATCAACTGATCTGATGAACAAGTTAAATAAACTGACACAATTTCATTTGGTATTAATTAATTAATTATTAATCTAGTATACTGTTTATTTTTATAACTAAGAAGTTACATGAACAAAGCAATAATCAAGTAGAATATTAAAGACTGATTAGATTAAACGAATAATATATATATATATATCCATTATCGATCGGAAGTCAATGAGTAACAAGCTCAAAATTATTTGTGTATTATCTATTTATTTATCTTTTTCACCATTTTACATTTCTTCTCTTGCTCTTTTTCTGGCATTTATCGAAATCGAGAGAGAGAGAGAGAGAGAAACGCCGATTGAAAAAGAAAATAAGTAACGAATTATATTTTTGTAAAAAAAAGTGCGGGTAAAATGACAATTCTTTGTTTTGAATTTTCTTTTCTGTTTATTTTTGCTTGAACTTGTTCATTCTTATTTATTTTTGACTTGTTCATAATCGATAAAAAAAATTAATGAACAACAATAACAACAAAGAACAGTAGGGATATCATTGTATTAATAAATTTCTATTAATTCATGGAATTCTAGTGATTAATTTGTGTGTGTATTAGAAAGAAAGAGAGAGAATATCAGAGAGTGAAATAACAAACTTGTAAATCAAATGCAAATTTTCCACATTATTTATTCATTAAACGTTAATTTTATTCAAATGGATTATGAATTCTAGTTTCTGTTTTCATAATGAGGACTTGTTTTTCCTCTTGTTAGTAAGGTTATGAAATTGATTATATATATATATATGGTGCGTGTGTGTGTTTCGTCCCATTTGACACTCGTCGGATAAATCTATCTGTCGACCCTAACTGATCATTTCATTCATCAATATTGTGAATCGGCGAGCTGGAACAACTTACTTCAAAAGTGTTCTATATGCGTCTGTATTGGTTGGGTTATTCTTCGAAATTACAAACTGGTCAAATGCTTCTCTTAGTTGACTTGTTCAGAGGCCCCGATCTAAGGATCTAATCCATAAAGTAGCAGTGACCGGTGACCAAAATATGTTAGTATATCATTCTATCCTTCAGAGTCTTGTGATATATGTATGCGATTAGTTTAAAATTAGAGTATTCCAACTCTCTCTCCATCTGTAAATATTATTTAAGCACCAGATACCTGCTCTTTGTCATTTAGCTTTCAGAAAAGATCCTTCTTCAGGTGACGATAAATAGTAGGACCCTTCTGGTAGGGACTAAATAACGATTGGCCTGCCCGAATGCAGACTTTCACCTCCTGGTCATGGTTGGTCATTTGGAGATTCGCGACAAAACAAATGGTTTCGGCTCACGAAGTCTGATTTATTCTGGGTTTTTTTAGCGAGGTAATAACTTTTCAACCAGGCTCATGTAATGTGAGGTTGACTGTAATTGAACACGTTATTTCATACGGTTAAACATCATTGCAGATGATATAATTGCATTTGTTATTTATATTTTCTCCATACAATTTACTGATTTATTTCACTCACTTATTTATCTATTCCTCACTTGTTAAAAATTACAATTTAAATCTTCATTATTCGTCTTTAGCTTCCCCATTCTCAATGAGTATCATCATCAGACAGTGCAGAATAATGTGCACTCGTGCTCAAACCCAAGTTGCACATGACTGATAAATTCATACTGATTGGACGTTTTGTAGTACTTATGTTTTAGTAAGATAGGATATAATTTTCTTGTTCTTTTTCCAAAACGGTGGGTACTGGGTCCTAGTATTATAATAATCCCTGAAACATCTATAAGTGCAATCATTTGGTTAGTTTCAAGATAAAAGAATCACGTGTTTTTCTATCCAACCGCCAACTACTAATCTGAAGATATAATAAACACTGAAATACAGGAGAAATTAACAACAGTTACATAACAGTTCCAAAGCTATTTTCCTGATCTTCAGCATAGTCTTTACTTACCGATTCCCAAGTTGTGAATATTTAAATCATTTTTAAGTGATAATTTTTATTTTTAACTGTACTGCTCTATCATTCTCAACAGAAAAGCAAGTCATTCAACATAATATCTCATAGCTATATAAACTCGAGATCAACAGTCTATAGAAAGATAAAATAATAATCTGAGTTAGACAACGAATAGAAACAAATGAAACCACTGGATACATATTTCTTCCCAGTATGAGACTCCCCAGAAGTGCACACTCACAACCTGCACTGTTGTTCTGATCTAGTATTTTCTGCTCCGTGCGTGACGGCTTTAATTTTAGACCACTGAGCCGAGACCCAACAGTGTGTACGAGTCTAACTAAAATCAATTTGTAATATTGAGGGGTGAAATGTTTCCATGTTTTCAATGGTTATGTAAACTTTATTGGTTCTTGGTCTCAATAAAACTCGACAATCTCCCAAATCTTCATACTGATAAAATAACTATGTTTGTCACCTGCTTACTTATTTTTAAATAGTCTCTTATCAGT